AAAAATACAATTAGATTTCCAATTAATATTCAGACAACTCATACTGCACACGATGATAATGACGATATAATTTACACCTCTGCTTAAATCAATTAATATGTCTTGTTTTACGTCAGAAACTTGGCAAGAAGAATGTTGGCAAAACAATTATGATCAGACTTCCAATTATAAGCGAGACAAAACTTCATGCAAATGTAGACAGATGGCGCTCTTCAGAAGTGGACAACTCGACTTTTGACTTCTGATGGGAAAGGTGGGGATGACTTTGCAGATTTGAATGGGTATACCTGTTGTCAGGTAAAACAAAATTCTAATCTTGCATTAACATTATTCCAAATTACTTTCTTAGCATAGCAGATCCATATTTCTGCTGGGGGTTGTGGGCAAGCATTAATTAAAGTCTACGGACTGGGTTTGGTAGGGATATCATTTTCCCTACAATGGGGTCCAGGACCTTCCCCCCTAAAATCTTCAGTGTGTTAACCCCTTAATCTCTTATCTAAACCATTTCACGTTTAATATATTTTTTTGGCTGTTGCTGGAACAGAAAGAGGGCAGCAAGCACCCATTTGCCATCTGCATGACTATCACTGACTGGTGGTAACTAATGTGTGCACTAAACCATGGAGATTTTGCATTTCAGGTTCAAATCTATCAAGATGCTCTCCTTTGAAATACAGCCAGCATATCATCTGTTGAGAGAAGTTTAAGCAGTTAGTTGAGCAGTGTACTTTTTGGCAAGGGCTGGAGATTGTTGATTGGGGCGCTTTACTTCCCAATTTTTCCGAAAGGTGGCGCTATTGCGATTCTTAGCCAAATTTCATAGTTATTCAATTGAGGTGCAGTATTGTACATGTCAATTTTTATCCAATTAAATTCAATCAATTGCAACAATCTGCTGGGAATATTTGGCGAAATATCCCAGTTCTTGGGTTGAATATCTGAATAATCCTGATGGAATTGAAGAAATTGTCAACTCACAGACTATTCCTAATGTTCATTGCATAGAACCAAAAATTGGCTAGCAATCAACTTAAGAATATTCATAGTAAAAAGTTCAAGTTACTGAAAGCTTTTTTAGTTTGATAGTTTGTTGTGTCAAGTTTACAACATATTTGACCTTTTTTAATGAGTATTCAAATGCTCTAAATAAAATTTAGTTTTCTAGATCTTCCAACAGTTTCACCATTAAAGAATCTCAGAAAATCACCTTACAGTATTATATAAATTTTAACAGCAAAAAAGTCTTTAATAAGAAAAAATATAATATTCATTAATCTCCAAACAAATTTTACAAAATAATAATAATGCAAATAAAAAATAACACACAATTACAACAATTCTTTATTTGTCCACATTCAACTTGTAAATTTGGGTTGGGCCACCTGACAATGTAGCGGATACATACAGATACAAATATTTACCTTATTTAACTTTCAATTGTAATAGGGTGGGTTGAGAGTTTACTGTTAAAATGATTTTCTTTCTGAAGATTTTGGAATCTGCCAAAAGAGTGAAATTTGTGTTTTTTACAGTGGCTCTTAAACATTTTGGAGGACGACCCAAACAAACGCCTAGGCAATTTAGAGCGACCCATTCCCAGGATATTCAAACACAGTTACTCAAAATGGGTCATTAACTTTTAAGCAAAATAAAAGTTTTAAATGATAATTATATAATTCAATTCGCAACCCTCCACTTTATTTGGCACCCTGATTTTGGGTTGTAGTTCATAGTTTGAGAACGGCTGGTTTAATAGGGAGCTTTTGATTGGCGCGATGTGACGCTGAAGCGGATTCACACATGCGTGACTGTCATGTTCATTCTACATCCTACCATTGACCGGAAGTTCCCTAATGAGTAATCTGGGTCCTTACTTATTCTATTCATATAGCTTTTTCTGTTTTTTTTTTTTTTGTTCAGTACATCTTGCATGTTCTCATTCCTTTTGAATGAAACATGCGGCGGTTATCAAACTGGATTATCTACACTCCAAGATTGACATTTCTGCTGACAGACATAATTTCAAGGAACATTATCAACTTATGTACATGCAAAAGTCTGTCAAACATTAAGGAGTAGTTCAGTTGATTGGTATCTTTGGGAGCATGTCTAGAAATTATGTCTGGGAGGGGACTGGGGGATTGTAGCAGGGGGTGTCTGGGACGGTGTTTGTGGGAAGTGTATGTGCATGTCATACAGTACAACATTCATTTGACATACGTCTTTCAATTAACCTACTAATATATTTAATACTTAAGTTAATGCCATTTATATGTTTTTTCCTTTAAAGACCTACGGTAACTAAGTCTAATCGATTTGAAATAGAATTTCTTAATTTGTACACATCAACAAGAGCTCTCACTGAAAGTAAGAATGAGAACAGCAACTTGCGACAGCAGCAGATTAGCTTAGTCGGCTAAACTGGTGGCAGCCACTGTGTGTGCGCCGAGCTACGGGGATCTCTTTGTCCCCAGTTCAATTCCCATCACTGCTCTCCTTGTGTTTTAGCTGGAGGGCTGATATTCAAGTATCAATAGCGCAGTCTTTCAAATGAGACGTTTATGCCATTGACCCTGTGTGCAATTTGTCCCGTTTGCACGTTCGAGAAAGCAGTACACTCTTTGGAAAAGAGTAAGGGATTGTCTCTCAGTGAGCTGCCTAATCCCCACCAGAAGGACAACACTGGAAATAAATCTTCTTTGGACTTTTGTGTGTTATCTTTGGTGTTTACACCGAATAAATCCATCCACTCAAACAAATCAACCAACACTTCTTTTCCTTGAGCATTTACAGTGTACCCATTTATCTCTCCCCAAGTTTTAAAGATTTTTGTAGCAAAACATCTACAAATAATTGGAAATTTCTTTTTTTTTTATTTGTGACTTATTTATTGGAAGTTAATTCTTTTAAATTAGCAATTGAAAACTTAATTTAAATTCTTGGTTTGTTCTCGATTTATTTTTTGGCTACACTTCATGTTGATTACCAACTAACAATAAACTTATTACTGCACATTGTTGTGATGTGTGTCACTATGAATAACAGGTATTTACGCACAAAACATACTGTACGCATTTTATATTTTTAATTACCGTACTACCCTCAAGTAGGGAGGGGCAAATCTGCAATTTTTTTTAAATGACGGAATTTGAATTAAGAATTTGTTTGCCAAATCTGCAAAAGAACACAAGATGATTACATACTGCTTAGTCAGTGTATCTTCTTCAAAGATCAACTCATCGAAATCTACAGTATCTCTCTCCTGCGTAACACAGAGACGACACATTTCCTGTCCGCCAAATGCTAGCACCTCTTAATAGCGTCTATAAAGCCTCATGACACAGTCTTCCCAGCATGCACCGAGGTCAAGAGATAATAAGTGCTAGATACAATCACTTTCCTTCCTTTTTTTTCAGCCTTGCAAACAAACTCAAATTCTTATCTTTCAATTTGAAAGACAGACTGTCTGCATTCAGCTAACAAATTTAATAACTATAATTTACTATTTAATTGCTTACTTTGTATATTTAATTAATGTTAAAAATGTCAATTTGTTAATTGTGCGATGTGCTAATATTATTTTTTGAGATATTACTGGTTTGTTTTTAATTTAGCTTTTTGTGATGTTTTTAATCTTTTTAAATTTCAGCTTATACTTTAATGTTGTTGATGTTACTTTTTGTTAAATATCGTGCAATTCAACCATAAGGCTGCAATTTTGATTGATTTGAATAAAGATGGAAAGAAAAATAATAAGAAACTTGTACTGAAAGCTGTCCTCATTTCTGAACACACTTTGCATTACTGATGTCACATAATACAGTACTTTTTTTCAATTGAAAAATTGATTTTTGAATATTTTCCAGATTTAAAACAGACAGGAAAAACAGATCGCCTGTCACTTGCTGCTGTCCTTCCCCCTCCCGTAGGACCTAGATATCTTTGAATCTTGCAGCTGTTGAACCACGCCATTCCCGTTTTTAATGTGAATCAAAAGCCCTGAAAATTACTTTGTATTTATATTGTCAAACAAACACTTGTGGGTAGGGGGCTGCATGTATATAGGTCTTTCGCTATTTATTCTTCCCTCGAATACTATAAGTTAATTCCATGAAGGTAAACTATGCCAATTAAAACGTTAAAATTGGCTTTTTGCCATATTCATCTCCACCAATGAAGGGTATGTACTCACCACTGTCTGTCTGTCTGTTAGCAAGAATAGGAATGGATCATCATAAAATTTAGTGGAATGGCACATAATAATGTAAGAGAAAGAACAGGGTAAAGGTTACAGAAAAGAAAATAATGGAATTGCCCACCATACATGGCCTGCGTCTTGTTTGGTACTTAGGTATAGGACAGACCATGGACCTTATTAATAGGTCCATGTGTGGAGTATTGTTCAGTATACAGGCACTGGGCAGAGGTATGCACCCTATGCACCCTACAGTACAAATTTGACAGCTCTAGTTTGTGTTTTTGCATCAGGATAGTCAAAAAAGTGGCCTAAAAAGATGAGGAAATAAGAAACAGTTTTTTTTTTAATTGGCCTAAATAAATTTGTCAAAATGTGAATTCTCTCTCTGTCTGTCTGGCAAAATCAAAAACAAAATTTGTGAATTTGAGCTCATGCATAAATAATAAAAAATGTCAGTTCCAATATTTTGTTGGCATCAAACCTGCTGACTATCTTTATTAATGCCTTTAATATGACAGGTTTGTATGCATTTTCAAAAGTGTGTTTGAGATGAGTATCATCTGTATACATTGGAAAGTACATATTAAATGTATGTACAGATCAATATGATCATCGGTTGACACTAGCCATGTGTAACATGAGGGGGCGTGTCTTTGATGTCACATGTTCCTTTACAACCAATCAGAGAATAAAGGAAATGAATGGCTGATTTTTTTTTTTTGACTCATTCAAAATTATATTATTACCTGGAACAACTGCTTTTTATATAAAAACAAAACAATATATCAGAGTTTCTATAGTTTTTATTATCATGAATAAAAAAATTAATAAAATTATCATCAATATTCTAAATTTTAAGTTTAAAGATTCTTAACTTCCAACATTGTTAAAGAGATCTAGCTTGGCATTCATTTCTTAATATAAAAAAGATCATAATTAACAATTAAATATCAATATAAATGCATGTAAATAAATGGGAATATAAAACGAAGCCATTAAATTGAAATTATTATTAGTTTATTTATTGAATAACAATATTTGTAGTTTGGTCTTGGTACAGCAATGGAATATGTTTGAAAAAATCATATGATAAAACTTAACTGATCAATCAGAAAAGGGCAGCAATAAATGCACGTCCCACAAACACTAAAGTTAATATTTGCTTGGCATTTTCTGAGGCGGAAAGTAATAATTTATCTCATTCACAATACGTATTTATAAATATTGTATTTACGAATAAAAAAATAACTTTTAAAAACAACATAAATTTATGGTAATGTTAAAAAAAGGTGTAATTTGTATATCATTATATACTGTATCATAATTTAAGTAATAATTAGTACATTTATATAACAAATATGAAAGGCACTGTATGATGTATGTGAATCATAGTCAGAATAAGTGTGTCATATAAATCAAATGAACATGAACAGAGAATACAAATTAAGATGTTTAAACAGTTTATCTTTCAGTTCTTCTCAGTTTAGTGTAAAATTTTCTAATCAAACTTTGGACCTAAATTTAGATATTTAATGAGATTGATTAATGATGTATTTTTTTTTAAAATAGAAAGTTGCAGAGCGCTTTCCATTAATACACCGGTCATCGGTATCAGTCATACGATGTACAACCTCTTCCGATCCCTGCGGAATATTCCATCTTAATCATGCACGAACATTCAGTGAACCAAAATACATGCAACATGGAACAATCGCATAGTACCAGGTACCCGTACTCCTGGGAAGAAAGGCGCCATGTTTGATAGAGTGCTTTGAACAAGGTGGTCTGAGTAAGAGTCAACGATCAGACACTAGTGAGTTGAGATAAACAGAGCGCCCTGGGTGGAAAGGCGCAATATTTGATAGAGCGCTTTGAACAAGGTCTGAGTGAGTCAACAATCTGAACACTAGTGAGTTGAGAGAAACAGAGCGCCCTGCCCAATGACACTATGGAGTGAGCAGCTCCCAAGTACTGAAGTGTCTGAAGGTCAGGTCGAGAGCTCAAACCCCAATGAACACCCCCTTACTGATCATGAGTAATCAAATAAAATTTCAATGTCATCTATAATTCAATTACATCTGTTGAATGGTATTTATCAACATACTCTATATATTTTTTCAACTTTCATTATATCAATATATAAATACTACAAATTCAAAATTACTATTACAATGTACTGCACATCAAACATCTCACTTAGGACACACAATAAAATAAACATGGAAAAATAATTTCAAAGAATATTTTTAAATTTAATCAAGTATATTTACAGGAAGAGCTCAACATTTTAAATGATTGAAAACAAACTTATGCAAAAGTTTTGTGTCATCATCACAATCTGAAACAGATGCACAAAATTATGAGCCTTTCTTGCAAAAATATATGGAAAACAGACACTAAAAATTGAAATATAGATACTGTATAACCAATGATTAATATTAGTGACCCTGACCTGCTATAAATACCCCAAGGGCAAAGTTCACCTGGTACTCCAAGACACTACATTTTTGTCAAACAAGAGTTAATAGTATGCACTGCATTTCTATACTAATCATCCAAAAATAGAAATGTTCTTCAAGTGGTTTCAGCTCCTTTTATACTAGGCCAAAAAAAAAAAAAAAAAATGTGTTTGCCACATGTTGGAAAAATTTTAAAAATGTGTATGTTGATAGGAAAATTTAATAATTTTTTTTTACAACCAAATGTGAGGTTAAATTTTGCCTCGTGAGGTTGATTACAGCCTCATAAGGCTGATTATTGCCTCATGAGCCCGATTACTGTCTTGTGAGGCTGATTACAAACTTATGAGGTTAAATACACACTAAAATTATACAGACATGAATGAATAATGCTGGGCTCTTAACATGTATAGATGATGATAGCTAAGAATCTACTCATGTAATAAAAATTGTTTTGCATGAATATTTACTTGTGAATTCAATATCGAAGATTCACAACTTAGTAGAAGTAGAATGCATGCAGAATCTAAAGAGAAGTAAAGGTACTTTTCTCACTAGTCTTAAATCTGATCTAGAATGCCTGAATAATCTAATGAAGAATCTAATGGTTTGTAACACAGAGGTGTTATCCTTGATTCAAATGGTACACATGAAAAAAAGTATTTGTTTTGCCGCAGCCTACACAAGGTTTGATTAACTGACACACAAATTGCTCCACAATAGATAACAGTTCTATAATTATAGTGTATGGATGGTACTTGGTAGGTTTCTTCCCAAATATTCAAATTGGTAGCTTGGCTAGAATATAACTAACAATGTATCTAAAGTTGTTAACTACCTCGGTGTAAAATAAAATAATTTATATGAAAAAAACAAAGATTCATGTGCCTACACAAGGTTTGAATAATTGACTTGTAATTTGCTCCACTTGAATATAATAAGGCCAAAGCGTAACTTCTAAATGTAAATCCTATACGTGTGCCACAGATAACAGTTCTATAATTATACTGTATGACTGGTACTTGGTTGGTCTCTTCCCGAATATTCAACTTGGGAGCTTGGCTAGAATCTAAAAATGTATCCCAAGTTGTTATCTACTGTACCTTGGTGTAAATTAAAATAATTTACATGAAAAAACAAGATACATGTGCCTACACAAGGTCTAAATATCTGACATGCAAATTGCTCCACTTGAATATAATAAGGCCAAAGTGTAACTTCTGAATGTAAATTCTATATGTGTGCTGCAGATAACAGTTCTATAATTATACTGTATGAATGGCACTTGATTGGTTTCTTCCCGAACATTCAACTTGGGAGCTTAGCTAGGCCAAAATTGAGTGGTACTCATTCAACTTGGGAGCTTGGCTAGGCCACAAGAGAGTGGGTCTCAAATTTCAACAGCTAAATTAATGGCGTAGGTCTGAAATATTTTGAGTGTGAAATTTGTAGTTGTTCCATTTGGCTTGACCTCTAGAGGTTTTTCGTTTAACATGAAATGGATGGATCTTGCTATCCCGATTGATGGATTTTAAAAAAAACAGGGTGAGTCACATAGTGAGTTTCCTGTCTGTACCCCTATTAGTTTCATCCCAGTAGAGCAATCATAAATGTACTGCTACTGTGTCTACCTCATACCCTGGATGAAGCTCTGCGCTTAATGTCGATGTCACGATTCTGTAAATAAATAGCACAGATTTCAAGAACTGCCATATCCTAGGTGCGACTCGTAGAGTCTTTACATCATAGATTTTAAGAACATGTAAAAGTTGACGGAACTCTGGGACTGATGGTGCATCTACGGAACGGTACTTTTGCTTCCCAGGCCAATCTGAATTGTAATTTACAAAACATATCTTTTTGTATGCTGCAAGTTATTTCTGACATCAAATGCAATACCAGAGACCTACAAGATACCTGGCATTTACATTTTCTGGAGGAAAAATGCATATGTTGAATTATGCATTTTAATACACCATCGTATCTATAAATGAAAAAAAATATATAGGCCAATACAAACATTTATTTAAATAATAAACGAAAAAACAGACAATATATTTAGTTTGCTTTCCACTTTAGTTTTGTCTATCATTTAATCTAATTTTATCTATGCTATTTTAATATAATTTTATGTTGTGAAATATTCTTCTTGGTCTTTTCGGTGCAAATTCAGCACTGTAAAAAACACCTTAGCTTAGAGATCAGACACGAAGGAACCCTTCAGTAAGTGGAAGTAGGTAGTAGTAGTAGGAATGAGATTGTCTGAGCACATGGTGTCCATATACACACAATATAAATCAACAACTTAAGAAGGTGGCACCAGTTTAACCCTTCTATTAGGTTATTATTATCAATATATTTTTTTCTATCTGAAAACAGGCCAGATGTTGCCATCAAATGATGAAATGTGGCCTGGTCACAGAAAGAGAACAAAATTTGAGACCTGGTAAAAAGACAAATGATTAAAAAATAATAATTAATAAAAAATTATTAAAACTGTTCGTGAGAAGAGTTAACAGCAGGTGCTGTGAAGCTGTCAATGTCAGGAGATATGGGAAAAACAGGAGGGGGAAGAGAGTTCCAAAGTCGTCTAGTTAGGTGCATGTAAGACTGTTGATGAAGGCTGGTTTTTGACCTAGGTATCTCAACAGAAATTATTACTATTAATCATTATTATAATTACTATTAACATTATCAATATTATTATTAAAATTAAACCAAGTATCAAGACAACTTGGTAGATATCAAGGTCAGTCTGGAAAATAACCCTGCAACTGCTTCACAGCTGACTTTGCATTAGATCCATCATCTACGAAACGAAAGGTCTACGAAGAGTCTCGTTACTCATCCAACCACCATTTTGATAGGGAAAAGTACATGTGAGAAACTACCCACTTCAGTACCACCTCATGTTGAAGGTGATGGGTATTAAAGATACGAAGAAATTTAAAAAAAAATTATTTTCCCTTCAAAATGAAAAAATCCAGGTTGTGATAGAATGTCTACTGTGTTACCACACAAAATGTGTTGAGATGTTTTTAGTGATTCTCATGGAAGAAGTGCATGGTTCTGATAAGCTGACTCTCGTAGAAACATCCTTTCCAGTGTCCGATGCTGGTCCAGATGTTTAATAAATTGACTGTCAATTACTGGCATATGTTGCTGTAATTTGCAACAGGCTGTAAAGTGTGGGTTACGGGTCTATAGTTAGCTGGGTCATCTTCTGACCTTTGCTTAAATAAGGGTGTAATGTTGTCGGCCCACGATAAATGCTGCTGTTGAAAGTTTCATTAATGAAAGTTATGAAATAAGTTTTAGGTACATAATGTTTGTATTATTGTATGACATTTGGCCATAAAGTAGAATTATCATAGAAACAAATTGCTTTAGTAATTCAATCAAGGTTTATTACAAGGCCTATCAGCACTGACAGTTTGACCCTAGCCACCCTACATGTTAAACTTATTAAACCATGTGGCCTAGCTAGGTTAATACCTAAAACAAAGTTTTAAAATTAGACTGCAGGTACATAATACCTGGTCTCTAGGTATGTATCGAAAGTTCATTCTGGATCAAAATGAGCTGGTATAATAAACTTGCGTATTTGCAAATTGACTGTCGTAAAAATGGTGCAAGGTAGCCTTCATGTTGCGTGCTAAGGCCAATGTAGCCTAATCAATTGGAATATGCATAGAATAATTAACCACATTTACTACACGCATATCAGTATGTACTGAGCAATGCATGTCAAGACCACCTTCGTATTATTTTGATTGTTTTACACCATATTATTTAATGAGAGTGATCCCTTCAGTGATTTGATAAATTTGAAATCCTTGAGGAATAATTATCACTAGGAATAAATAATAATTGGGATAGGTTTTTCTCAAAAAATCAGCAGGATTCAACATGGAGGAGACACAACATTAATACAAACCAGAGCCTTGCAGGTACCAACGTTCCTATGCATGATACATGACTTAACCAACCATGTTTTCTGATTAAGTCATCATAAATGACATAATCAGAAAATATGGTTTCGTTAAATTTTTGTGGTGGTTGAAAACCTCGGGGGGGGGGGGTCTTTATGGCCCAAAATAGTGATTTTAGACCACATTGGTAATGTAATTTGATAGGCAAATTACAGTAATATTTTTAGCAAGTTTCTTTGAAAAAATTTTGAAGGGGCCTAGCCCCATTCAAAAATTTTTTTGTAGGCCTAGGGCCTAGGCCTAGCTAGGTATACAGTATTTTCATTTTACAGTAGCTTGGAACAATATTGGGAGTGGGGGAGCTGGCAGTGGCCTACTAGAATACAATTTATTTGTAAATAGCTTGGGCTGGATCGTCCACAGCAGTTGGGCTCAATCGTCTGTCACTCGAAGTTTTTATCATGATGATCAAGAACGTACAGGATCTAGGCCCTAGGCTAGGCCTAGCCTCGCTGCTGTCACTCTGCTACGTATACTACTGCATAACAAAAAAGCGACCCACGCGGTGCATTGTTTAATTTTACACACATTATATATGTATTAGACGATAACACGATGTCATTGATTAAATGATCTACCACCCTTGCATAGCAGTAACTACTGTACTAAACTAGGCCTAGCCTAGGCCTCATGTTTTTGTGGAAAGCCTAAGCTAGATAGTCTTCACTTGTCTTCAGTTTGCATTCAAAGGACACACTGCTGCATAGCCAACTGTCGGGGATACAGTACATTCATATGACTACTCATACAACAGAAAAAAACGTTCCATGGATGTAGCGAAAAATTGAGATCTAAATGAAAAAACGATGTATTTTAGCAAGTATTAAAACCTTTTTTTTATTTTAGGCATTCTTCAAAATGCCTATGCCTACAGCAGTTGATTTTATTTTGCCGCAAAACCAAAATGGTTTCATCCATGACGACTTGCCAATCGGTTAGCGTGAGCCTGAACACTGCAGAAACTTCACATCGAACTTTACATTGCGAGGTAAAACAAAATGTCGGAAAACTTTTGACACACGCGCACACACACACACATAACAAACAGGAAAAACAGTGAAGAGTGATTACAATAGTTCCTATTGCATTACATGCATAGGAACTAATAATAATAATGTCTGTAATAATGTTGAATTCATTAGACAATAGGGCACTATGTAATAGCCATTAAAAAAATGAATTAATAAATGTATCCCTAAATTGATTATACTTAAGTAAGAATATAAGTAAAAAAAAACCCGAAGTTCTAAGCATAGATTAAACAAACTGAATTTTCTAAAGATTAGGTTGAATTGTTACCACATGAGAAAAATGGTAAAAGATGGAGATGTACGGAAGTATTGTTTATCTTAATTCAAATCCATTATAATATTTATCAATCCAGATTTGGATAATTATTTGTTATAGGAAGGCTAGGAACCCATGCATCAGTTACTCAAATTGTTTAATTGAATAATTGTTGATAAACTTTCAGTACACCATGTGACATATGCTGAATCTCAATTAAATATCATGAAATGTATTTAAAAAGTAAACAATTTTTTGTTTCCACTTGGAATATTAACTTACTCAAAGACATTTCCATTTAGGCAAGTTTAATACTATTAGAAATACAATATCATGGTAAATAGAATTTTTTTATAGTAGTAGTAACAATAGTAGAAGTAACTGAATATTTTAAAAAAATAATAAATGAATCAATAAACCAATTGTTCAATCAATCAAAGTCATCCTCCCTAAAGAACTTCATTATTTTGTGTATCAAAAAAAAATAATATAATAATAATAATAATAATAATATAATATATAATATAATATATTAAATATATTATGCATATTTATTGTACCATCAAGTATTGTTACTTGGATATAAAATCAAGCAATACTATGTAAGCTGTAAATATTCTAATGGGTTTTCAGAAATGCAAAAAAAAATAAAATAAAATAAAATAAAATAAAAAAATAAGAGATAACTGAAATATATTTGGCCCTTAAAGTAAAACACCAGGAGTGATATTGTCAATTGAGCCCATCAATGAAAGCCATGTGTCTTCCAAGGAAGGCTACTACAACTGTAACATTAATAAAAAAAACACTATAATGTATACAACAAAATTAAAGCCTTGAGTATTGATTTTCATAGAAGATATGGCAACAAAAGATATGCTAGTTTAAATATAACTATAGTAAAGTATATAGGTGGTGCCTAATAATAGCATTTTACCATAAACTTATCCTTTTTCTTATTGTAGTTTTGTACAAAAAACACTGAATACATCTTTTAAAGTACCTCCTCTATAGTTTTAACACTTATAAACAGTTAACCAATCAGAATCTCATAATACAAAGTTGCAGAAAATTGATAGATAATCCTAATATTTTAGACTATAAAACAATATATAAAAGTGTACGTGCACTCCCTTATATTATCTTTGGCTTTCATAATTTAATGGTAATTTAGCAAAAAATTCATTCAGGCCTTTGTTAACAAAAGGAATATGGGCTTTAAGTGCACATTGCATGATTGAAAGCTACAATTTTTTATATTGATATTACTATGATTAATATTTTAACTGTATATTGACCAACATTTGCATATAATATTAGAATTAATTAGTTTAAATACATTATTCTTTTATGTTTGTTTACTGAAAATATTCACAAGGGAAATAAATGTAAAGGTTTTGCAGGAAGAGTATACAAACCAATTCATATCAATTGCTGACTAAAATTCTTGTTACTAGTTAACATGAGTTTCACCATCAAATACCAAATACGTACAAGTGTACCCTGACTTATTTTCCAGTTTGCAATAGAACTACATAAACAAATATACCTTATCCACAGACAGCTACATTATAGTCACAAGAATATTGACATTACACAGCCATCATTTCCCAAATGTCATTAAAAAAAAAATACAATTAGATCTATTGATTGAATTTGAATCTTAAATGGTAACATATACAAACAGTCTTGTTTGTATCTTGATCAGCAACAACTGTTCAAAAGTCATTGACTGGTTTGAATTAAAATGTATGAAAAACTTTGCATTTTTTTCCTCTCGAAAGAAGAGAAAAAGCGTTCGTCGTGAAAAAAAATTTGCGAAGTACTGGCATGATCAAGCTGTATAAAAACGAAGGTCTGTTGATGTCAGCTGGAATAATAACAACAATAATATTAATATGTTATATGCTACATAATCGATACATCTGAAATTATCAAAATATGGTTTCTAAGGTTTGAAGTGGTATTTACGAAAACATTAATTTTTCACTCCAAATGAAGAGAAAATATATTGTACTATATGAATGCTATATACTTCTGTCATGAAATATATTTTAAGAACACAGACATGATCATGCTTTTTAAAAGACGAATGCCTGTTGATGTTGGCTGGAATACATCGAAAAAGATGACGAATACATCAAAAAGATCAAAATGTTTTTCTAAGGCACTGTAATTACATTATATGCTAATATAAACAAACAAATGATGGATGATTAGCCTGATGGACCGTAATACAACACAACACAAACAATTAACATTGCTTGACGGCCTTAATCCTGACCTGGTCCAGGAAGTTCTGGCTGTATAGATTATTGTGAGCTTTCCAATAGTAAGTTCGGCAATGCTCTTTGTTGTCTTAACACTTGCTTGTTGTACCATGGTCGGTTTCTTCAGTTGATTGAAAGTGATTAAACTAATGAATTGCATAACGTCAATTTCATGGTAGTAGTGTTAGTGAGATGAAATAAAACAACTTGAAAAAAACGTGAACACAACATCAACAGGAATAACTGAATCACCTTTGAGGTCCATCTGGGGGTAATGTGCAAACCACTGGGGCTGGAGTCTACTTGTTTAAGGGGTCAAGGTCAGCTAGGGAGAAATCATCGTTACTCAAGGTCAAGCCAGTTGCAAATCCCTCCTGAAAAATACAACAAATAAAATTCACTTTACACTTTGGCTTCTTATCCATCCCAAATACAACATATAATTATTTATTCATTCATTTGGCATGAATTGTCCGGGAGTCACAAAAGCAAGAAACCCACGGTAGCTAGAAGGATATGCGACTCCATGAAACAATACAATAACAATGAATTAGCTGAAACAAAAACCAAATCAAAGGAACAATTGAAGTATTTTGAAAAGCTACAAATTTCAATGGAAAAGACTTTTCACAAACAAAACAAAGTTAAACATCGTTGGGCAAGAAATAAAGAATAAATCAACCTAGATACAATGTTAAAACCTTTTCTATATATATCAATGTTCAACATTATTTAAACTTCAGTACCTCTTGTGTTATAGATATTTCTTTTAATAATGAACATTTTAAAAAAATCCCAATCTTTGAATATAAAGAAAAACCTTGAATAAGAACAAATGAGAAAGAGTTTCAAAACCACTTTCATGCATACTTTAAATTAATCCTTAAAGTTAGCATAAGAAAAGATGGCAGGAGAAATGCAAATTATTTTCAGGGATGAATTTCTGTAGACCAAATCATTGAAAATACTAGAAATTAGAATATTTTCCCATTCACCATGGCTTAAAATGTAAACCTTGAATGAGAAAAAATGAGCAAGATTTTTGAAACCACTTTCATGCATATTTATAATGTGTTTAATATTAGTTAGCATAAGAATTGGTGGCAGGTGAGATACACATTATTTTCTGGGATGGATTTCTGCAGGGCAAACTATTGGAAGTACTTAAAATTACATCTTCCATTCACAATAGGTTTAAGATAAACTGATAAAATAAACAGACACAATAAAAGCTGTCTCTTATACACATCTAGATGTGTATAAGAGACGAATTTTTAAAATATTTTCAAAATAATCACAGCAAAAAATAAAATAAACCAACTAAAATGCAGTGAAAGAAGTCATGCACAAGAAAAATTCTTATAAAAAAAATGTTTTTATTATAATTATTAACATTATTTAAAACTCTATTTTACAAATCAATATAAATCATGGCATATAAATAATTCTAGATTTTTGCATGAGTGGATTAACATTATTTTATTCATGTCCAGTGCTAACTATGTAGCTACTACATTATAAGAATCGGACATATGGCACCCATAATTATTTTTTAAGTTGACCACAGTTTCTCACATTTTTCCTTGAAAATTTGGTATAAAGCGTATACAGTATAGGCAATGTACAATATGTGCTACAATATCAAATTATTATCAGTAAATTATTAAATCTAATAATCGTAAGATATTAATATATTTTACATTCAGCAAATCATAGTAGCCTATTATAATATTGAGGGTAAATATAATTTAATATTATTAAATATTGATTTGTTTTTTCTCTCCTTTCTGTTTTTTTAACTTTTTTTTTATTTCATCCTAAGGTTTTAATTCCAATGTTTTAAAAAACAGAGAATTGATAGTTTTTACTAGGCAATTTTAAAATAGCACTCTATGAAATAAGCACATATATTAATATTTCTTTAAATTAAGCATTTATGATTAGTAAATGGGATAAAGCCAACTTCGAAAATTTCAAGTCATTGTGAACCACGCATGACACACCACAAGTAGTACAGGTGACATGAGCACCAAAGGTGACAAATGTTCCACAGTGACACAAGTATCACAGATGAAAAAAAACACTACCGGTGACAAAAGGCGTCACAGGTGACACAAGCCCTACGGGTGACACTTTATTGTTACCTTAGAAGTCAATCAGGAAGATCTATTGGACCCAAAAGGTCAGATTGATTGAGCTGTGAAAGTGTAAAACAATAACAGCAATAATAGCAATCATCAAAATTATGAGGGCAGTAGACAATAAATGTATAACTACACTAAAGTTTCCACTGCTATTTACCATAACTTTTAGAAAGAGAAAGGCAATATATATAAAAACTAAATCTAATTTAAAGAAATAAATAGAATCATATTCCAGTGAGACAGATCAACAAATTATGCGTTTGCGAATTTACAGACAATTTAATAAGAAATTTAGAGCCTATGCAAATAATATAGGAACAATGCTTATGAATCTATTGAATAAGATCTTAATACAATATATTGATTTACAGATGGATTAATGGTCCAAGATTAAGAAAAGATACTTTATTTAGAAAAATAGAGTGAAAATGAGAATGAGAAGGACTTTCATAGGACCTGTGTCAAGCAGAGAAACTATTGGCTCATCATAATGTAAGGTTCTGTCCAGATTATCAAATTGTCTTTGAAATAAAACTAGGATATGCCCATATATAGTCATGATATGCCTATATATGGTAATGGCATGATGTCATCATGACCATATTTAGGGATGTCACATGTTTTTGTCAAATCAAATTTGATAGTCTGGACAGGGTGTTATATTGGAAAATAGCTAGGCCATATCAAGGGCCAGGCTTACCTGCATCTCCCTCATCTGTCTGTCTGCGGGACTATCAAACTCAATGCTAGGCTGCGTCACTTCAAATGGGTTGGTCACTACAGTCTGGCCAAATGGAGCTTGTCCAAACGGATCACCAGCACCACCTACTTTAGGGGAAAAACAATAATTTTTTATTTCATTTTGTTTATTCCACACTATTCAAATTCCATTGGGAATGCATCCTATTTGAAAAATAAAATAAAATAAAAATAAAAAAATAAAAAAATAAAAATAAATAAAATATGTAAATGTAAGCTTTGTCAAAACTATAAAATTTTATATTACAAATTTGTGTGATGTGCCCATATAAAGTCATGATGATGTCATATTACACCCAAATATGGCACAGTTTCTTTTCACATAACATTTGATAGTGAGGACAGCACTTTAGATTATATGTTAATAAAATGATTGATAATTTATTTTGTTGTGTTATCAGTAAGACTTCATCAAACACAATACCCAGAACAATTAACTCACAGCATGGAGGTATAAAGTTAATCTAATTTTATAAATCCATGTTCATACAATCGAATGAAGTCCTACTGACAACATGAAAGAACTTGCATAAGTTAACATCAATTGTATTTGGCTTATTTAAATTGATATTTACTTTATTTTAATATAACCTAATCTCCCATTTGATTAAATATTTTTCTAATTTAATAACATTCATTGTTTAATAAAGCATACAAAGATTTCATTATTATGCACAACATCTAATTAAAAAACAAAGCAATAACAAACTACAGAAGGAAGCACACATTGAAAAGAAATACAAGAACAGAAAATGGAACATCACCTGCAGAAAAATTAATAAAACTAGACTGAGCTTGAGCTTGGCCAGAGCTGGCTGAGCTTGGTTTGCCAGGAGGTGGGACAAGGCCTAGGCCTAAGAAAAGACGATCACAAAATCAAGAAAAGCACATGACATTCATGCAAAATAGAAGCAAAAACAGTTTACAGTAAAAGTGCATTGTTGATTATTAACCATGGATAAATTGGAAATAAAAGTATGGCATCATCAGCTGAAATTTGGCACAGCAATGAAGGAGGGGGTGGAAGAGGGTGCATTTATTGTATCATTTTTTATATTTCCAGTGAGTCTGATAATATCCCCTGGTCTGTTCCAAATACATACAAGCATTACAGGATAAAGGGAAATAAATCGGGAAGGGGGAGTCAGGCGTGATTACAATTGCCAAGTACATGAGGAACTACAGTAAAAGATAAAAGAATCTCTTTTGAATTAGCACCATATTGAAGCTACTAAATTTGTCTTTACTGCTGCGATGCTTATTCTATTTTAGCTATTCTTTGTGAGAATATTCCGCTAACAGTGACTACCACCAAAAATATTGTTACCATCTAACAATAATAGTTTATCAGACTATAGCATGCTGCAACATTACAGAAGATACGTTTGACATAAAATAGAAAATCTGTGCGTAGAAGAAAAAAATACCTGCTTGAGGGCGCCCTTGAGGTCGAGGTCTCCGAGAACTTGAAAGAGGGGGAGGAATTGCTGTAACGAAAGATATCATCATTCATCAATGCATTTATTTATTTATTCAGCCAATTTAATTGATATTTAATTTATTTTAATATAACCTTATCTCCCATTTGATTAAATATATTTATAATTTTAATAACATTCATTGTTTAATAAAGCATACGAGATTTCATTATTATGCACGACATCTAATTAAAAAACAAAGCAATAACAAACTATAGAACAATAGACATGTTACATGACAAACTATACAGAAATATGTAATGTTCCTAAATCTGGTTTATATCAAGACTACTATCACATTTTATTTGACAAAAACATGCCTAAATATAGTCGTGATGACATCACATCATTATCATACTATGCACATTATGACAATATGTGAGGTTTCACCACAAAATGAGTCTCATGGTTGGAAAATCAAAAATTGAGTTAATAGCATATTTGGGTAGATCACATCATAAGCTTTGATTTGGTATGTGAATGGCTTTCCTTGGGTGAGAAGTGATGTGAGCAATTTGAAGTTTAGGTGTATGAGAACCAGATTTTGAGAAAATCAGCCTAAAAAATAAACAAACCGGTACAAATAATAAGACTAGAACAACAGAATGCATGAGAAGCACTTTTATAGTAAGAAAATTCATTTTAAAGGTAAACTATCATAAAATAATTTCCAATTTTGGCAGTTTTTGGTTGCCAGACTTACACACCAGTTCCATTTTTGGGGTTATTCTACACAAAGAAACATCTTTAAGTATAACTGCACTTCCGGCCACTAGTGTGTGCCCAATTATCTCCAAACAATTTTTCTACACCGACGAGCACTTTGTGAACGCACGTGATGCGTTTTTATGGGGGCGTGCATTCATTTGTTCAAATTGATGGCGGCGTATGATTTTTGATCGTTGTTTTAGGTTCACCCACCTTATTCTTGTGTCACATCTTTTAATAGCAGTAAAGTATTCAAAACAATTTGGTGAAAATTTTGATGAATATCTTAATATGACTTCACCAACAACGTGCCTCATTTTGCGGTGGGACCTCACATACATGGGCATACAAAATTTTGTAGCGAGGACAGAGCTTCAGTATGATTTAATGTTTGCAGAACACAAAACTATGTCAAAAACCAAAGCAGTTGTCTCATAATATCCCATTATATTACTTTACAAGAATTATATGAAGTATTATTATTTTAACAGCATACATTGTTTCTAGGCATCTGATTGGTTAAAAAGCGGGTAATAACTTCAACAATTACACTATGACGTAAGCTGAATGATAGTTCATAAATTCCCGGGGAACGAAAGAACTTATAATGTCGCCGTGTAATTTATGACATGCACAGACGGTAAAGTGACGCGACCTCTATGACACTGAGCGATTGGCCCTATGACAGCCTAGGCCTACTTGTTCGGTACTCTTTTCATTACTTACTTAGACGTCGTAGAATCTGTGTATGATGAGGTTCATGGAACAAATACTGACTGCTTTAGATTCGATTCGGGGAACAGTGAAATCTATAGCCCCTCGGTGACGTGGGGACCATAGCCTATCTTCCACACAGGGCTTCTGCCCTTGGGAAGAAAGTAGGCTATGGTCTCCCCATCACTTTGGGGCAATAGATTTCACCATTCCCCTCATACGCAGTAAATATTTGTATACATACAGTATAATTACAATACTGAATATATAACAGACATATTTTACACAAGACGCATGCTACAGTAAAATGTTATAGGACTTCCCGAGGTAGTCCCACCAAATTTACTGTCACATGAGTAAAGTTCAAACTTGCAAGATGTTGGTATAATCAACATGCAGACATTGAGATGTACACGATAACACAGTGAAAGATAGACTATGCTCTCTTGCCATGTGCAGAGATCTATGCTAAATACTTCAGAATGTGCTACATGCCTCTGCAATGTCCATTTTTCTTACATGGACATTCCAAAGGATGTGTGCTTATCTCTCACAGAGATGCGCATTCACAAGTGGGTAATGTAGCAGGCGATGCGTGCTATATTTTCCCTAGCACTGGATGCCAGTAAATTTTCTTCATTGTATGAATTGGGTATAAATAAGTCTATGTGCTGCACAACAGCTAATTACCATGATAAAAAGGTTATTTTAAACATGTAAAAGAAAGATTAAAGCCAAGCTCCGGAGGAAAAACATTTACTGATATATTGTACAAATGATACTGTATAATGTACAATAAAGGGGGTTTGAAGAAATATTCGGAGATGGTTAATGAGACACAGATTTTTGAATATTTAATAACTGAGGGGAAAAGGTGGGGGAAAAAGGTTGGGAAAAAAGTATGAGTATGCTCCCTTTCCTTCTAGATTTTTAACATTAAATAATTTGTACCTAATTAGCTGTTCCAAAGTTCTTCATCAAGTACCCTTTTCATATTTTAGAAAAATCAGTTTCACAATGTATCAAAAAATTTCCTTTCCTCCAGAGTCTGGCTTAAATTATTTAAATGCGAGTCAACCAATAAGTTGATAGGTTTTAAGACAGTAACTGTGAGGAAACAACAAACAGAAAATACTCAACAGGTAGGAGAAGATGGATCATGAACATGAGGACCAGTTCGTGCTTTGACAATTTGAGGTGGAGCTGGTAAAACTATATATGGAGAAGACAATGAAAACATCAATAACAAAATAGCATAAGGTAGAACACACTAAAGGGAACTACAAACAACACCAATAGGGAAACACCAAGTGAGGATGCCAAAAATTATGACGATATTGACAATGATAATTATGATGAATATGACAATGATTATGACAAAACTGTTGAAGATTAGGATGAGGATGATGGTGGTGGGATGATGATAAAGGCAATGGATGTTTATGAGTATGTGATTATGAGTTTAATAGTTATGATGATGATAATGAGGATGCTAAAGATTTAATGAGCATGATGAAATTGTGATGATGGCGACAGTGATGATGATGAAGACGACAATGATGATGATGGATTTGGTGATATTTAATGGGTGATGACAATAATGAACATCAATATAAGGGTGACGATTTAACAAACATATTCTATTGATAAATATACACACTATACATCAACAATGAAAAACAATAATATTCATACGTAATTTGTAAACGGATACATCAATCAAAACAATTTAGAGGTACCTGGAATGCCGTTACTGGAATTGCTAACACTGTGACCATTACGAATACCAGCGTCAGTTTCGAATACATTGGAAGCCTGACCATTTCCCACTGAAGCCCCATTGATGGGCTCTGTTGGATAAGCTGTTGGAGGTGCTGACGGGGCAGATGAGCTGAAGGGGTCCACGTCAAATAAATTACCAGTCTGAGCCTACAAGAATACGAGAAGATTGATCAGCAAACGTTAGGTTTATTTACAAGTCTTACTAAAACAGACATTATCATTTACTATTTGCAAACACTTAAGCTGAGCTTGTCTCTTGACTCAACTAATGGACCTTTCTGAAGTGACCACTTTTTCCTGTACAAGGATTGGCCGATGAGCAATCCAGCTATTATAGTAGAACTCAGTGTAACTGGCCGGCAATCTGAGGCGACATACACACTATTGTGATCCACAGTAACTGAAACAACACCAGTTCCACTCGATTGCTCTCAGTTACCATTGTTCTATTTGCTAAAATTCAAGTAACTGACAAGTGATGGAAATTTGTCATGTGAACGTAGTAACCCAGTAACACTAGTCATGCGTCAAAAATGTATCAATTATGGTAGCATTGCAAAGGCAACTAGTTGTGAATAATTACAGTTGGACGCAACATTTTGGGCAACTAGTTCTAAGTGGTGGTGTAGTAGTAGTCAAAGGAGTACAACGGCAACTACTGTAGTTGGGTTGAGCTAAGTCGAGTTTCAAGACTGAATTAAGCTTAGCTTAGTTTTAACTATGGATATATTTGTGTACCTGGATCTATTTAATTATAGGTTGCTCTTCCTGTAAAGTGAGGTTATAGCCCACTTTACTGAAGAGATACCATGTACAGTTAAAAAATAATATTACAATTTATAAACCTAAATTGAAAAGTAATTCTAAAATAAAAAATTTAGTTCCTGCTCTAACTACTACTGTATATATTTTACTTCTTTGTTTTCTCTATCCAATCCGATTTATTATCAAATATATTTAGCTTTATCCAATCATATCAATTTGATGTCCATGAATATTGCTGTATCTTGTGAACCCACTTCACTCCCCTGAAGCCCCACTGACTGGAGCGAAGGCTTGTGAACTAAAATTCATCGTTAGTCAAAAAAGTTCTACCTACTCATTTTTTCATACTGTATATATGTACTTGATCCTTGGTAATTTAATAAATGTAAAAATTTGCATTGATTAAAAAGTATTCATCCATTTCAGTGGAGTTTACGAACTTTTCAAAATAGATCATCAACTGTATTATGGATTTTTCCACTGACCCTTGTCCCTTGAATATTATTGCTAAGGTAACACAAAACGACAGTGTAAATGTACATTTTGTTAGAAATGTGCATTTGTTGAAACACACTAGTGTTTTTAGGGCATGCGCATATTCCAGGCTCTCTTCCGATTGGTCAGTTGTGAAGTTTGATTGACATTCTGAAAAGGTATATTCTTGAGCCCAATGCCATTCACACCTCTCACATAGTATCTGCGTTTTATGAGAATTATTGATCATATAGAAAAAATGGATAATATTTAAAACATATTTATGATATTACTATCGATAATATAATTAATATCTAAATTTCTCTAAGAGCAAATTCTCAGAGGAAGACTATCTGTGGTTTTCCAAAAAACGAATTCCGAATTATTCATTTTTAAAATGTTTGCCTCTCTACTTATTACTAAGGAATAACAGACACTCACAGGCTCTGAGACTTGTGCGTTTGATTCGTGGTACGAGGGCGGCAAACCAGGTAACCCTTCCAGCTCTGTTATCCTCATCTTCAGCTTAGCATTTTCTACTTCAAGGGACTGGACCTGTAGGAAACCAACATATAATTCTAAATGTAAAAATTATTACATTTTCCAGATAAAAAATGATGAAACAGAGATTGTAGCAGAGTTAGTCTAGATAATAAATAGTAAATTGTAGACAATCGGCACATTACAGCCTAACACATTTTATTGCCGCACAAGCTTTCGACCACACAGTGGTTGGTCATCAGATGAATGTAACAAATTTTATCGGCACACAAGCTTCAACCACACTGTGGTCTTCATCAGGTGAATTTGAATTCACCTGATGTGGTCGAATGCTCGTGGTTCAATAAAATTTGTTAGTCTGTAAAGTGCTGTTTGTCTACAATTTACAGTTTAATGATAAAAAAGTTTTACTAGTAAAATTTTCCATTAAAAATCTGGAAAAAACCCTCAACATTTCTATACAGAGGACACCAAAATGTAGGTATTTTAAAAATCAAGGTATTTAAATTTAAAAATAGATAGATAAACACAAAACATTTGAAGTTTATTTATTGAATATTACACACCTTTCTTTGGAGGCTGGTGATCTGTTTCCTTAAATCTGATTCTTTTGAAGATGTGTCCAGAAATTTCTTGTAAGCAAGATCAAAAGCTTGGCCAACGGTCAATGTGATCTCTTCAGCCTGAAACAAAATCATTAATAGATGTTACAGATTAGATAATTAAAATACATACTAAGATTTTGTAAAAATTTCTTACAAAAGAGGGTGTTTGCTTTTATATTCCTATTTCTCTATGACTGAAAATTATTATGGCTTGCTAAGCCTTATAATAAAATACAAATTGATAATACAGGTATATCATTTGCTGGAACTCAGTATACAGTCACTGGTGTCACCATATGGTACCCTGAGACAGACAGTTCTATTTTTTTTTATGGGGGGAGATCATTTAAACGTATAATGGTGATTAGTTGGTTTATCTCAATAAGTATTCATGAAATCGATTGAGATGCTACTCTCTTTACTACAGCAACACTATTGCTGTCGCATTAATGGCAAAAAATAAATAAAGACGTGTATGAGGGCAGTGGCAGTATCATAATATGGTGCCATGGAACAGACAGTTCTATTTCTTCATGGGGGTGTTCAATTAAAGGAACAAAGGCAATGAGTTGGTTATCTAGTTAAGCATTCTCAAAAAAAAAAAAAATACAATATCCTTTATTGCAGCTCAACATTATTGTGTTTGAGCGAAATAACTTAAATAATAACACTGATAATAATTGACATGGTAATGCTGGGATTACTTACACACTTTTCACTGTCAAGAACAAAGCAAATATGCTTATCACTACCTGGTTCCTTTGCTATGAAAGCACATATTCTCTTGTCGGACTTGTCATCTGCACAGTAAGAGATCCTATGTAATGGATATGTATACAGCTTCTCCTAAAATTATTAAAATATTAACAAACTGTGTTAGGAAGTTACAATTCTTATTTGTTGCAATAATATGAAAGGTATCTTCATTAAAATTCATTGTTTCTAGTATTATCTAGAATCTCTTTTCTTCATATGATATATATTTTTAATCACAAGTTCCACAAGTAGAGATTTTATTTCTAATTGAGATGTGAAATAAATTGTTAGAACTGCAGTCTATTTCGAGAAAATTACAGCATATGAAAAGCACTGAATTTGGAAGGCTAGCTTTTGACAACTGTAATAGAATATATACTAAAACTAAGCTATTATTTCATCTGTAGCCTAATTGTACTAATAGTAATAGTATTGATCATTTTCTTCCAGAAAGAGAGAGTTTGGCCCAATTTTATTTTGTAGTTTCAGTAAGGATAGCAGTCATGAAAATTAATTTGTTTTTGAAACAGACTACGACCATTTAAGTTAAAAAAGGATTTACTTATTAGCTTTTTGTCGAACATATTATTTCAGCATTTCTCCAATATACTTGCAAATTTTTTGTACAAATTTTTTAAATAATTACTTCGAAGATGTTATGAGTAACTAATTGAGAAAATTAAAACTCCAGAAATCCTTCTAAATTAACATGGTTGGAGTGCAGTGCAGCAAAAAGACAATATTTTCTCTAACAAAAAATACTTCTACTTCTTCAGTGTAGTATTGAGATTTTGTTTACAGAACCTCACACAGTTTATTTCATTGTCTAATAAATGGCGATTCATTCACTAAGAATGAAATAAAAACTCTCTGATAAAATTTTGACACAAACATCTATTATCTTTAATTTATATCCAAATTTTTTTTGATAAAATGTTAATACATATTGTAGCATGAAAATGTTTAAACCAAGGCTTACACGAGTGGCTCTATCTTGAAGTGCTACTCCATCGGCTGAGATGGTCAACTCTACTTTGCGGGGTTTCAACCCCTCCGACCTCTTCACATGGCGATTGAACTAAAAACAACAAAAGGAAGTTCAATCATTAGCATTTGTGACTGGCTCTGGCAAAACTCTCTGTTTGTCGCAATTTATAATTTCCCACAAGCACCCAAAACGTGTGAGAATCGGAATCTTGAACATTTTCAGTTTTTTACATTTTATAAGAGACAATATATTGAACATTTCTGCAAAATATCAATCACTTAATTTAAATGAAAAGTATATTAAATTATTTTTAAAATCTTAATAATTAACTATTGATTTGGAATCTTTGGAAGCTATTTTCTCAAAACCTACATGGCTGATATCCAATAAATTAAACTTATTTACAATACTTAACCAATTTTGACCAAATAAACATTGTTTTAATAAAAAATTCATGAGGAATCTGAAAACACTAACAACTCAATTTAAAATTTTTCCTATGAACAAATGGTTTTTCCAGATCTGGTAACATTGAATTTAATCATCCAATGCTTGCTTAAAATTAATCATCTTTTAGAAGGTTTCCATTTTTCATTGGCTGTTATGTTGTGTTTACTGTACCGTATCTGAAATCACGTCTAGACACAATCATTGCTGTACTATTCTCACAACAAATGTATAATTATTGAGTAGAGAGTAGTTCAAGGCAATAAGAATTATGGATGGTATAAATTAAAACATTCTCTAATATAAAAGCCATACAAATGTTTTGCCCGCAGCTGTACTGTATATTAGCAAATCTTTTCATGTACGCACATCAAACATCCACATTCCAATTTAATCGCACCTGCTTTGCATGTTTATCTATGTCGTAGTGTCTCTTATATTTATCTATGTCGTAGTGTCTCTTATAATTTACATTGCTAAACAGGGTTCAAGATATAAATTCCAAAGTTGTGGAGACATCTCACAAAACAATGTTTTCTTGTGATAACATCATCTCTATTAAAAGCAACACCATGTTTTTTTCAGTATCTAGCCCCACACGATGGAATGTTGTTGGGGAATTTATTAAAGAAAACATTGTAAGGAAGATTAGATTAATGTGTAGATGTAGTGCATAAAACAAAGCAGGGATTGTCCATCCATATTTTTTTATGACTTGAATCAAGTATATCTGCCAATGTTTCTTGAGTCCCATAAGCTGCTTATACACTTTGATGTTTGTATTGCTTTTTAATAATTTCTCAATATTCCTTCAATTGTTTATGTCAACTTAGACTGTATTTTTTTCATTGTCATTTTTCTGCTGTTTTTAAATTTTTTTTTCTACCTTTGTACATCCAGCCTTGTAGTATGTATACGTTTTTAGAATATTGAAGATTAAATAAATATACCTCAAATATCAAATATAATAATAATTATATACCATAAAATCATAAAGGTGAAAGGTAAAATAATTTGTCAAATACAAACCTTGAGCTTTTTGACTGACTCCTTAACTAAGTCAGCGCCTTTGGCTCTTTCCACTTCAGTACTTCCTAAGAACTAAGAGAAAAAAAAAACAGATTATCATTGTTTACAGTAACATAGGTAAGAACATAGGTCATCTTCTATCAAAAACCATGGAAACAAATGACACTGGCACTTACTATAAATCTAGCTAATCCATCTGTACTCAACCTAGCCCTGTGTTCCACTGCCCTATGGCAATTGTTTAGATATACCACATTCCAAAAAAATTCTCTTTATGTGTAATTAAACTTGTTCAAGGAATCACCAACATTTGAGGAGATGCAGCATCTACATGTTTGTGAAGAGAGGTTTATAAAGGTACAGTAAATGTAAAGGTAGGAGAATAACCCATAAATTGCAGTCATCATTACGCTGAATTGCATATTCGCTTGATCAATGACTGCCACCCACTGTAGAGAGGCACTTATAGCAGCTGCATGTTCACATCATTCCATAACGACCGGGGCTGAAATGAACCATAGCATCAGGGTAACCTCCTACTCTTCCCAAAAGATGCAATGGATATTTAAAGTGAACACAAGCTAAATGTGTACACTGGACCTCCCAACTTAAGTCCTTATCTGAGAAGACTTGGTTCTACCAACCAAACCCTGTGAGAGAAGCAGCTCAAACCAGCACCAACGTTAAGGCTGTAGTTAGCAGCGGCCCTGCGTTACCACTCTGCCACTTGGACTTGAGTCACTTCATGTTTGGTTTGAGTCTAGTAGACTGTCATTCATTGGATAACAGATATGAAGTGGTCTTAAATTAGCAAAAAATAGGATGCTAATGATGCAAAGATGGACAAGGCTACTTCAAAGAGATTTGATTTAATAATACAGTAGTAATAACATTCTAAATTTGCAGGAGATGGTTACTTTCTAGGAGATATGCTTGCTCCCAGAAGTGCAGGGGAACTTGTCAAATTCCGGGAGAATCCTGCATCTCAAAGGACCCAGCCAGCCCTGCAAGGGGTTCACATCAAAGGCTTCAGCTATCTGTTTCTATCTTTCTAAAGGCAAGGCACTTATCCATTATAGTAATTACCATCCAGGGGTCAAATCCAGGTACCTGGTACATAATGTCCCATGTGGTTGATCCATTGAGTAAAGAAGCAGAGGAAGCCTTCCCATTTTTTTTTAATTCAAATTAATATTTTATTTGACACACCAATGCTTTACAATTATACTGTATTTCGTAAAAATCAATTCAATTTTTCCTAGTTTCCTTTCCTACGACCTCATAAATAATCGCAAAATACATTTGAGATTTGAAGTTCAAACAGCTCCTTTTGTTTCGAAAAACACAATGTTCACAACTGTATGTTGTCACCTTAAAGGTCAAACTCATTGTAGGTGTGAGGGTTCAACTTGACTGTATTGCACCATGGTTTCACCAACCTCAAAGGAGGGAAAATTGCCAGCTGCTCAGCAGATTGGATTGTCTAAAGCTGTGGGACTTAAACAGTAATACAAATTCATTACCATCTTGAGAAATGCTTCTGCCTGCTGTGAAAAACTCCCCTCACTTAAATCCTTCCTCCACATAAAACCAGAATGTGCACAGTAAACTTTGGCACACATTTGACAGAAAAACAAACTGTTAAAGTATTGAAGGTTCACTGTCCCATGCCAAATACCCAAAAAAAAAAAATCATAAAAGTAATTTAATTTTGAAATTAAAATGCTTATTTTGAAGTAACACACAACTTATCAACTTGAACATAGAAATCATGGTATTTAAAATGTTTACCTATAATTTCATAATAAAAAATGAAAACACTTCTAGATACTGGCAGTGCTTTAATATATAATTTCATTATCATTATCCAGTATACAAATCAGAGTACACATTTCTAAAATTAAATAATTTCTATACTCAAGTTAATTATTTATATGGGAAAGATGAGCAAGTTAATTTTCAAAATTATTTTTTATAATTTTTTTTTATCATTAAGAGGACAAATACATCATCAGTTTAATTCATTTTATTCAGTCTATCTATCATATAAATCAATAATTAATTAATTAATTAATAATAATTAATTAGATGGTGAAAATTAATGTTGATAGCATATATGAGTAGCAGAGTAGTGTAGCATTTTGATGTTAATATATAATTTAATCAAAACCTGTAACAAATAAACCATATTTTAACAAATCTTTACATAAACAACTCATAAGCAAATAAATTAGAATTTGTTATTTTATTTTAAAGAAAGTGTGGTTATGCCCCTTTTCCCCAGTTTTTAAATTTCGCCCATCACATTTTTTTATTCTTACAAAAATCAGTTCATACAACATATCTAAAAATATTTTTCCTCAGGAGCCTGTCTTTAAACAGGAAGTAGAAAACACCGCCGAAAACCTCAATGTTTTTAATGTTGGAGGAAATGCCATAGACTAATGAACCTTTTCAACATGGAATATATGTATATAGTAAATGATACAATGGATGTATACAGCCAGCATAATTGGAGGGCTCAAGAGAATAGGGACATCAAGCAAGCACAGGTTTTGAATGCATTCAATAAACCCAGATTGTACTGATAGTAATGGAACAAGGGAGTATCAGGAAGGCAGAAAAGAAGAAAAGTAATTAGCTAATGCAGAAATACGGTCAGCTAAACTGGTGGTAGCGACTGTATGTGCACTGAACCGTGCATATCTGTCTGTCCCTGGTTCAATTCTCATCGCTGTCCTCATTGTGTTTCAGCTAGACTGCTGAGATACAAGTTTCAATAGCACATCATCTTTCAAATGAGATTTTTAAGCCCTTGGTCCTGTGTGCAATATGGCCCACCTATATATTATGTTAAAGAAAAAGAGTAGAGGATTGTGACAGGAAGAATGAGTGGGTGACATCTGTCATGGAACATTCAGCTATGTTATGTTACAAAGAACATTGTCAAAAGAGTGGAGATTGTTTTGAAAAGTATAGTAAACACTGTACTAATGAATATTATTTATACAGTGATAAATATTGTTTCAATATAAAACTAAACTAATGATTTGATAGGGAATGGTCTTAGGTGATCACAAATAATGGTCTTACTTAAAAAAATATATACCTTGTTTTAATAAAAATGAATATGAAGGCCTACTCTATTACTTTAAATAATATAATAATATATAATAATACATTAATATTGTATACTGCATTATTTCAACTGTTATAACAATGTGCAAATAGTTTCTGTTACCTATAAAAAATATACATGATTATTAAGATACATTATCTTATGTGAGGGAAGATTTGAATTAAAATTACATTGTCTAATAAAAGAACAGCAGACTTTTTTTCTCCTGGGAAACTATACAAATTACATTATCATATTTTTCAGTATTATTCATTCAGTGATTGCAAAATGATCAGTGAAAAAAGATACAATCTAGCATTAAGTACTCCTCATATTGGATGTCAATTTGTTTGATAAAACACTTAATATGATTTATGTGTGTTTACATTAGAGGAGCTCTTGGTTGGGGGTATCCATCATTTGTAGAAACACAAAGAAAGAAGAAGGCCTACTGTACTGTTCAAAAAAGTCTCAGTAATTTTACAGCTCTAAAGAAAGAAAGGAAAATAACTGAACAAAGAGTTTAACAAAAATTAAATAAAAACAAACACCATGAAAGTTGCAAGATAAATTGAACAAATTACTAGTGGTACTTATTCAATTAGGTAAACAAAAAGTATGTGACATAATAATTATGACTAATCAATTAATATTAGCATAATTTACCTCTCATGAATTGAAAGCTGAATGAGTTTAGGCCAAGTAAAAAAAAAGGTAGTTTCTCATCCTTATATTTTGAAAAAAAGGAGAATAAGGGCACTTTTTTTTCCTTTTTTTTTTTCTCCAAGATGACAAATCCAAGATGGCCGATGGGAAACAGCTACTACTTTCTCACTTTTACCAAGTAGACACATTGAAAGCAAATTAAAAAAAAGCACTAGACCTGATCCATACCATATGTATCCCCAACCACAATCAATCAAGAGAGGAATTTTACTGATGTGAGTTAGCCAGATTTTCATATATTTCATAAAATAAAGGAAATAACAAAAAAATTAAAAATTGGTGAAGCAGAGAAAATGGATGCGCGAGGGGACGAGAAACTAGTATTTTTTTTTATTTGGAATTAATGAATTTTATTAATCAATTGTGATTACAACATGATATAATTTAATAATTATTATAATTTAATAATTAACTAGTTAGTATAATTTACCTTAACATTGTAAACCACATGTCCTTTGGTAAGGGTATCCGGAGCATGGGGCCATGTCTTGCTCCCTGAAATTAAAAACATTTTTGCACAGTTTATTCATACTTCATTCATTCATTTCTAACGAACTGCTATACCTCTACTTACCTACATGAAAACTGTAACACAGCACATAAAAATAAGAAAATACAAATGTTCAAAATAAAACTTAGTATAAAACATCAGTTTTGAAAATAAAATGTCACAATTTTATCTACAACCCTTAATTGCTGCTCAGTCAGAAGTGAAAACAAATACTTTTTTTACTCTAAATGAATCCTTTGAAATCCTGTTTGTAAAATTAGTGTGGAAGTAGGTTTACACATAAAAAGTATTAATAATACTGAAGATACTTTCATGGAATTTCCAAAAAAATGACAATAAAAATTTAGATGCAAGATTCCTGGTGACTACCATTAATAATATCATCAATATAAACTGTTTTGTACTCTTTACCAGTGGACAACAATATACTGTAATAAATACAACTATGGAAAAAGCCAAGTCATTGTGAGTAACTTTAATTGGAAGAGGGTCGGAGAATAACAGATGGAAGGGGGTAGTTAGAATTCCAGGTGCTTGAATATAGGAGCCCTTATCTATAGTGACAAAGTCTTGGAGATAACATGGAGCAGAACTATACTAGATCATTTTTTTTTTATATCTGGTTTCTTCATGTCCAGTGGCAGAATGGCCTATCTGTGGTATGACACCCAAGTGAAAAATTATAACTGAGGTAGTTATCACTGAAAAAAAACCAAAATGAACCGCAATCACAGAATGCATTTGAAGTGCACAAAAATGGTATTGAACTGTCTCTATATTCCATTGTGTCAAAACATGAGCGCTTCCAGCAGTCCTCAGCACCCCTAGGTTAGTTTCTGTACTGTTTATGTCATCCTCATCTTACCTCTTTCTCTTGGTTCATTCCCATCGGTCATCACATACTTCACTTTGTCGTCCGATTCCTCGCCTTTCTCCTCCACTTTTTCCAAACTTTCGTTCTTTTTCTGCAATTCCTTCTCTTTCTTCTCCTTATCCTTTTTCTCTTTATCTTTCTTCTTTTCATTTCTTTTAAGCTTACTATCAAAGACTTTCATGATACTACTAGTACTACTAGACGACTCGCTGGTACTGGAAGGATTGTCATCTTCATTAGTAAACCTCTCCATAATATCAGCACTCAGAAAAATAACAGCGAATCCAATTAGGTTTAAATACCTCTTGAACAAAAGACCAGGAGAAATAAATCCTGACAGCTAATGAACACAGGCTAAAAATACTGTATCTTCTTTATATTCTAATATTTAAAATCTTGATTTCAAAGGCTAAAAATTGATTCTTCTCTGGTGCAGAGACAACATGGTACTAAACTGCAACCTAGAAGGCAGGCTCTCAGCTGATCCATCCAGCATTAAAAACAAATTTACTAAAGCCACGGTTGAGTCGTTCACTCAAGTGTCAACGCTGACTAGGGGTCAAAGTATCATTTGTAACATGATCCTCAAGTAGTGTTGTTCAATGGCGATTTATGGTCTCTCAGTTGTTTATAAAAACTTCGCAATGTTGAGGGCATAAGCTCAAGTTAATATAAATATAACACTGACTTGTTTGTAGTTGAGGTCAAACAAAACAAAATATGCACTAATGATGCTTAAAATGTTATTTGTATCTTGTATACATGGATGGACAGAACAATATTACTCCCAATAAAATACAAACAAAAATAAGACAAACTATTACGATAATACGATAACGATAATATAATCAACATTTGTTGACAAGGGATGCAAATCCAGCAGGGAGAACAAATCCAAACAGGGAGTACAACTCCAACAGGTCTCCTAACCTTGGGAACACATACTCTAGGGTCTCCGATCAGAGTCCTGGATTAGAAATATACCAGAATATTAAGGAGTACAATCACAATAATGACCTCACGTGATCCTGTACATACTTGTCTTCTGATTGGGAAGGTGGTAATGCAACTTCTCCTCTGACTCTAAAAAAATACTGTAATTCAAGGCAAAAATAGTGGCCCATAGACAGGGGGGGGGGTTTTATGGTTCAGGCTCGCCCCCCCCCCATCCCACCGGGGCCCCTGGACTCCACGCCCAGAGAACCACCCTTGGAAGAACTTGGCTATGGGCCTGCTTTGTTAACGTCAAAACAGACTCGTATTTCCCCTTCCTTACCATGCCTTACTCTGTTGTGACTGTGTTCTCACTTTGGTATCTAATGTCATAACTAAATTCTTTCTCTATATCCTTAGAGAATTTGTTAATGTTTTACCTACTGGAATCCTTCAACAATTTCAAAATGCATTCCATCCAAACACAATACAAAACCAAACAACCAACATTTTCATAAGCAAAATCTATACATTTTATCAGAGATTCCAAGTTTGCAATAGCAAGACTTTTGAAAACTAAGCCTTCCCCAGAGGGTTCAAGGCTTCCCCTTCCCCTGTGACAGCTGGCAGTGTGTAGGTGTTCTTTAATATTGAGTGTTTTGCAGACACAAGACTTTTTTAAGAAAGCCCAAAAAGGTCCGGGGCATCCCCTCCCTGCGTGGTAGCTGGCAGTATGAACAGTAAGTGTTCTTTGTCTTATTCTTACCTGAAATCACTTTATAAAACGAAATATTCAGTGTGTTAGTGAACCTAGTTTGATCTGCTTTATCTATTGAAATCCTGGAACATATTAAAATTCCATCCAAAAACAATTACAAAACCAAACCACCAAAATTCATTCACAATAATACTACAAAAATTCAAGATAATTATAAACATTTCTAACAAGGGGTCCAGCTAGTCCAGGGGGTTAGTTTGATCTTATCGGGCAAGGCACTTTACCTATGGTTGGTTGCTCCCTCCAAGCGAGTACCTGGTAGGTTCAAACACAACTGCGCTGATTACTAGCTGCAATATTATGGAATTCTCAACAGGGAGCTGAGTACATGTGTTTGATCTAATGACCGGGGTAGTAATGTGAAGCGCTTAGAGGCTTTATGCATGAAGCGCTATATAAGACCGACATATTATTATTATTTATATTATTATCGGAAAAATGTATTACAAGTGAGAAGTTTTCAAAATTTCACTGATTCAAAATTTATATAAACAAGAAATACCATGGTCTACATTCATTTCATTTTCAGCAAACTCAACATGCAATACCATTTACAAGAGGGGTATTATTCAGGAATACACCACGAATAACATCTGGTCAGAGATGTGGAAGTGGTTTAGTGCAGCGGGAAAGGTTTGGTTTCCCTCTCGCTGTGCATATCGCTTGTGTCCTTGAGCAAGGCACTTAAAAGCATTGATTCTCTCCACCTAGGAGTAGAAGTGGGTACCTTTGGAGGTTTGAGTGCAAAATACGCAAATATATATTTAATGCAGCAAACTTTGGAATTTCCCCCATAGGCATCATTCCAATGACTGGTGTAATAATGTGGCAAAGCACTTAGATGTATAGAGCGCCATATAAAAACCTACCTATTATGATTATTATTATACAGTTAATGCCACTATGTAGTTTCCTATACATTTTAACATTGTGAAAAGTACAGCGCACTGGGCGAAAGATAACAGATATATCCACGACGACGTCAAAATTCTAAACAGGAAGTAAGATACGAGATAGTAATTGAATGTGTTAATATACTTAAATCAGTTTTGTTTGCCCTACCATTTCAATTCACCGAGAGCTGGTTTACGATTACGATAGTGATGATGCCAGTGCGCTACGCTATTGCATTAACACTTCATATATTCTACCAAGGTATACAGTTTTCATGTTTTTGTGGGCACACTTTTGGTTTAATCTCTGCAATGGCGTACAGAATGTGTAATTGATCCCCAAAGTTGATGAGAATAACACCACTGAGTATAATTTCAAAATAATCTCCATAAAGTTGATTTTTTCTTTACCTTGTGGGTGTTTATTGTTACCCCATCTGCTATTCATTGCTTTTCTAAGTCACTCACTATCCAGCCAAGCAGACCATTCAACAACAGCAAGTAAGCTGGACGATGATACAATGATGATGCACACTACTGAAAACAAGAAGAGATATACCCCGGTATTCTTAAAATGAACTTTAGTCGTAGTTCGAGCTGAAACTTCAAAATTATGTCATTTCATATTCTTAAAACAAACTTTGACTAGCAATACAACTAAATCATGTGAACCTTAATTAAAATGATACCTCCTCAGGCCGATTATTTTAGTCAACCTACTGTAGGGTCAGGCTAAATCGACGACTTGAAATATTTACTCCACTAAAAACGTGCTATTTGTAACTTGCAATAAAGTGAAGTGAATATAAACGATTTTATAAATAGGTCTGATGTATCTCCAGTGTGTTCAAGAAAAGGGACATTACGTTTAGCTTCCAAAAGGCGAAATTAACATGTATTTCAGTGACATGCAAATTTTCAGTGACAGTTCATATTCTATGTCATTAGATGTTAACGACTAATATAGTTATTAATTATTATAGAATATTAGACGAATAATGGTCTATTATGAGGAAATATGTTTTTGAAAGACAGACGGCAGATTAATATTCATCCGCGTTACTGGATCATTTAAAATTAGCTCTAGTCATTGGTATAGTTTGATAGTTGTTGCTTGCCAGCCGTCTTCAGCTGAACTACAACTAGGACTTGATTTAGTCGTAGTTAGAACTTCGACTACATTGTTTGTGAATACAAATTGAAGTTGAAGTTGCAACTAAGCCTAAATGAAGTTCTAGTTCGAAGTTCAACTAAAGTTCGTTTTAAGAATACAGGCGTTACAGTATTTACATATTAACCAATCAGGTAGTACATTTCTTGCATCTTTTTTTTTATTTCTACTTTCAAACAAAATATCTATAACTGAAAATAAATTCCATATTAAATTAATTATTTGACACACTAATTCAAGACCACATTTGGGACATTTTTGGGTGGATTAGGTTAAAGGTCTTGCTTTCTTTTGGTCTCGAACAAACTATATGAATGTAAGCTCTAAGCCCGTAAACCAGTGAAAACTGTTGTTTTTCTTCCATTCCTTTCACATTGGAAAGTGGTAACATTAACCGTAGTTCATTATTCCTTGTGTACACTATAATAGGTCCACCTCGTGTATAATTAATAATCTTATGTAATAGGCTGTCCTTGGGTAACAGCCCAGGGCATGACTTCTACAAATATTCTCAGGCTACGGTCACACTAGCGTCTCAAGCCTGGCTTGACTCAACACGGGTGAGATTTCAAGCCAGGCTCGAAATTCTGGGTCGGTCACACTAGTTGGATTGACCTCCAAATTATGAAAGTCGAAACAGCAGAGCCGTAAAGAGAGAGTTTGGCCAACTCTGTTTCACGTGATTTGATATACGCGGGTGTGATTGGGTGGATTGCAATCAAAGATTTTATACCAGATGTGCCCGAACCACTCTTCTTCAACTGATCTTTTATCAGCTTGTATTGGGCTCGCAATGCCTTCACTTATGTTTGAATTTGGGCCGTCGTTCTCTTCTCATGTCCGAGACTGGCTAATCTGTCAGCAAGCACGCTAAAAATTCTTGTTTTGTTGTTTGTTTTTTTATTTTCTATCCGGTCTCTCAGCTCGGGTTGGCCCCACAAACCTACCAGGTCAGCAGTTTCCTGGTCGCTCCAAATCAATCGCATTATTATTAATTAAAATTTGAATTAACTTTTATGAAAAGTAATGATTGCGTCTTGATTGAACACACATGAAGAACTCACTGGTTTTTTATTCAAGAACTTCTAAACGCAACGGCGTCATCGACTGTGATTGGTCGACAGCCGACGAGGAAATGTCAATCTCGGTCACGCCAGGGTCAATATGGGTGCTGAGCCAGGATCGAGATAGGTAGATTGAGATCGAGGTCACGCCAGGCGCGAGTCGGTGCAGATGCGGTCACATTACGAAAATCTCACCCGCGGTGAGTCAAGCCAGGCTTATTGCAAATATTTGGCATTGAATTAAGCATACATTACTGAAAAAACTGGGGTTTTCCTAGTTACAAGCCAACTCCACCTTCCCCGCCCCCCCTCCCCCAACACCCAGATTTCACCAGATAACATACTACATGACTTATCAAGTCCTTATTAAATACTGTAGGCCTATATGCCTTTTAAAAAAAAGTTTGGTTTCTAGGATGTATGGGTGATTCTGTGAGAATGCTGCGGTAGAACTGACAAGCGACCTTTCACCCCTGATGAATACTGCCTGGTTGATCCCAGGTTAATCCTTGGTTTGACATAATCGAAGTCATGTAAATGGTAGTACTGTACAATATTGTTGCTATGGTTTCATCTTTCTCATAATTGTTATTTATTACTACACATTATAAGGGCACTATATTTAATACAGCTTTTCA